TCCGGTCGCCGTGACCCTTCCGGCCAGTTCCTTACTCGGCATACGGCTTGTTATCCTGCATCTTTGTGTTCTCGCCTGGCTTCTATGCTGGCCCCCCTGTTGTCGCGACACATTGGGGTCGTTCCCTTCTTGACTTGGGAACAACGTCTTCTGGAGCCTAATTTGCGCTGGCCTGTCCCGGCGTCTCGGGTGGAGGATGGGGCTGGATCTTGCTCCACCGGATCCTGGTCCGTGCCTCAAGGGGAAGACTGCTTCAAGCAGCTGCGTCAGGCCTGGATACAGCGCATTACCTGTCCGGCCTTCCTTGGGAAGTTTCGTGCAAACTTGGCGTCCGGTTCCAAGGACCCTCCATTGTCCGATGTTGAGCTGCGCCCTTTCCTCGACGATCTCCGCTGCTTCCTCCGACTTTCCGATAAGGAGTTCGAGACACTCAAGTGCGTTCCTCCTGGCCAACCCTTCCGCCTTTTCTTGCTTGAGGCCTTGCTCGAGGTTTCCAGGGACCCTGACCTTGCATTTATTGACATTTTGGTCGAGGGTGTGCCGCTCGGCGTTGATGAGGCAATGCCCTCTTGTCCCGCACTTTTTCCTCCCTCTGAGCCGGTGGCTCCCTCTTTGCCGCTTCAGCACTGCGAGTCCGCTTGGGGCTCCGCCCTTTCTGACCCTGAAACCGTGGACTCTCTGTTGGAATCTGAAATTCGTGAGGGTTGGGTGCAGCCGGTCTTTGGGGGGTTGGCTTCTCTCAAGGCGCAATACTCCCGTTCCGCCGTTGGCAAGCTGGGCCTCGTAAAGGCTCCTGATCGTGACCCCCGTCTGGTGGTCGACAGCAGCGTTTCTGGGGTCACGGACCACACGTCCCTCCCCAACAAGTCCGCCAACCCCACTATCTCCGGCCTTCGGCGCTGTTCCCCGGCCCGGCCCGCTCTGGAGAAGCTCTTTGCCCTCATCTTAGACGTGAGCAAGGCACACCGCCGCATCCTCATCCGTCCATCCGACCGTGGCCTGCTGTGTTTCTTTCACCGCGAGGTTCTTTATCAATGCCTTACCTTGAACTTCGGTGCCCGCGCCTCTGGTTTCTACTGGGCCCGGTTGGCTGGTCTCCTGTCCCGCCTCTTGCACCGGCTCATTTACGTCCGTCACGCGCTCCTGATATACGTGGACGATCTCATTTCCCTTTTGTCTGGCCCGTCCGCTCCGGTTTGGGCGGCGCTTATGTGCATATTTCTCCTTATCCTCCGCGTTCCTATGAGCTGGCATAAGGCTTACTTGGGCTGTAGACCCACCTGGATCGGTTGGTGCATTTCACTTACTAGCTTCACTGCCGCCATGGAGCCGTCAAAGCAGGCGCGCCTGTGCTCCTTGCTTCGTTCCGC